CAAGTAATGTAAAGAGTATTATTAGCGTTCGGCAGGACTTGAGGAGATTCCTATGAGGAATACCGATCGTAGTGAGAAACAAATAAGCGCAGTCACCGCCCTAAATACCGGCGCTAGCGGAAAACTCGTACATTCCGCAATCTCACTGCGCCGTCCTGACGGTGCCCTAATGTCTATCACTTAGCATCTAGATATGCATCGGTAGCCCCATAACGTTCTGGGGTAAGTTTTCCCCACTATATGCGGAGACCCGGGGTCATATCCCCTGGTCGCCAATCTCACGAGTTGGGAAAGGACCGTTTCCTCAACAGGTATCCAGTGAGAGAGTGCGTAAACACCCTGGCGAGTGGTGGCGAAACGAGCCTGGTCGCACTGTTACTGGTCGAGTTAATGCTGCTTTCTCTGCTGTTATTCCTGAACCTAATTCGTTTGCGGAAGCCATTGCAAGTCCACAAGCAGACGACTGGCGGCGTGCGATGGACGACGAGATCGCCGCCCAGATGGCTAATAGTACTTGGGAGCTGAAGAAGCCACCTCCTGGTACTCGTTTGTTGCCGTGTCGTTGGGTGTATAAGGTTAAGTACAGCGATGACGGCAGCGTGGAACGTTTCAAAGCGTGTTTAGTTGCAAAGGGTTTCGAACAACGTGAGGGGATTGATTATGGGGAGTTGTTTGCCCCTACCTCTCGTGGTTCATCGTTACGTGCTCTATTAGCAGTTGCCGCAGCCGTGTGCAACCTTGGAGAAGCGAAGGTGTTTGGGGGCATGGAAACTAGGAGGGAGAAGTCGGGTGAGATAGTGTTGTCACAGCATAGGTATATTGTGCAGCTATTGGAGCGTCATAAGTTGTTTGATGCCAAGCCGAGGATGCCAACCCCTTTGCCTCCGGGTTTTAGGTACACTCCTAAGGGGGACGGAGAAAAGCTGCTGGACAATCCCACGGAGTATAGGGCTTTGGTGGGGGAGTTGAATTACCTAGCGACGAACATGCGACCTGACATTTCGTATGCATTGAGTGTTTTGTCCCGGCATATGGCCGCACCCACGAAGAGTGCTATGAACTTAGCAATTGGCGTTCTGCGTCACCTGGTGGGTACTCGCGAACTAGGATTGCGTTTTGGGGGTGTTGGTGACATTGAGATGTCCGGGTATAGCGATTCTGACTGGGCAGGAGACCCAGTTACGCGGCGTTCTACTTCCGGCTACGTTTTCACTCTTAATGGGGCTGCGATTAGCTGGAGCAGTCAACTTCAATGTCCTGTGGCGGCTTCATCGGTGGAGGCCGAGTATCAAGCGACAGCGGCAGCTGTTCGTGAGGCTTTGTGGCTTCACAAGCTGATGGTTGATTTGGGTTTACCTGAGAGCGCTATCAAGATTTAAATAGATTCCCCGGGGGCGCTTAGCTTAGGAAATAACCCAATTACGTCTGCTCGGTCGAAGCACATCGACGTACAGCAGCGTACATAGTGCGTGAGAGGGTGAATAGCGGGGAGGTGCAGTTGGAATACTGCCCTACGGAGTGGATGGTTGCGGATTTGCTCACGAAGGCTCTGGGCGAGATGAAATTCAAACGTTGCCGTGATGCAATGGGCCTTGTGTGAAGTGTGCTGATGAATTTGGTACTCGTTGGGATACGGCCCGAGAGGGCGTGATGAGGAAACAGTCCTCTCCCAACTAGTGTGGTTGTCGACCAGGGGATTTGACCCCGGGTCTGCGCCTGACTAATGGGGAAGACTTACCCCAGAACCTTATGGGGCTACCGATGCATATCCGGTAGCTAAGTGATAGACATTTGGGCACTGTCAGGACGGT